TAAGTTCCTCTCAAATTAATCTCAACCCCATCATCAATATGATCAAGTGAACCTGCTCCCGAGCTAATCGTTTCGAGGATTCCAGTATGATCCTATAATTGTCTAAGTTTATCCCTATGAACGCGCTGCATGGGAAGTTTCGGTAATGCGATTTGGCCAGCAGCTAACTTTGTAGTGCATAGCTTAGGTGGGAATGAGGGTTGTGTCAATCGTTTAAGCCGCCTCCATTTAGAGGAGCTTTTCATGTTTATGGTCATTTTAGAAGCATTTTTTCACTAGGAAAAAAGTCTCTTAAATCCAGAGTCCAGGCTCTTAAAAAATTTGACGAAAATACCCTTAATTCAATCGGATTTTTTCTGGAATCAAAAGAAAATCCGCCTAAATTAAGAGTTTCGGCTCTCGATTCAAGCAAATGATTGAATAAAGAGTATTTTTTCGTGTCAAACTTGTAATGAGTCTGGACTCTGGCTTCAGGAGACTTTTTTCAGTGCGTTAACGTTAAAGTAAAGGAAGAAACTTTAAAGTTATTTGAAAGAAAGTGAAAATAAGTCGTCTCTTTAAGTTTTTCCGTCAAACTATGGGGTCTGTAGAAAAATGTGTATTCCAATCCAATAAGGTTTAAAAATTCAAGAAGCGTCGGAATGGAATTAGAAATTGTAATTTTTTATCTTTTTAAGAGGCACTTGGTCCTGCCAGAGAATATTTAATAGTATTGCTCACTTTTTGAAAAAAATCTTAGTACTTTCTGCTGGTTAAATGTGAAATTAAAGTTAATAAATCCTCCATGAGTTTGCGATCCTTTAATTTAAACTCTTCATTGGGCCTGTAACTCCGAAATTGATATGTTTCTGAATAAAATATTCACTTTTCAACTGCAGTGAAAAATCCGATTTTTTACGATTTGGTTCGGTTCATTGCTGTAGAATGGTACGATCAGCTATTTAGTAGTTTATTTAATTGCTGAGGTTCAATGACTAATGAGTCCATCGACTCCTACATGCGGAACAAGTTTCGTAGAACACTACCCTTTTTCACTACAGTTTGCGTTTTAAGTGATACATTTGAGTTTTTAATCGATTGTTTTTCAAGTAGAACCGTTCTGCATTAAAACAACGATGAACCAGTCATAAAGTTCAGATGGCATAGTGAAACATAAGTAAAATTAGATATATGAGCGTGTGATACATTTAAAAGCTTTCAGGTAACCAGCAGGTCGTTTTTCTTGTGTTTCTTAGGAAATACTAGAAATGCACGAATTCAAGTAGAATCGAGTACCTAGTAAATAGTTATGATGACATTTTTATGACTGACTAAAAATCAATATTTTTTGAGCGATTTGGTTTAATTATCTATTAAAAGAATAAGAAGAGGAAAAAAAAACAAGTCTATACGTTATGGGAATCCCGCGTTTAAGTTACCAAGTTTGTTTTGTACTATTTTTACCTATTCATTTGTCCATTCGTTATTATTTTATCATAGTGTCTTTTTTAAGATTCAACATGAAAAGGAGCGAAATTCATCAAATAAATTAATATCATAATGCTACAAATATATGGTAATACCTATGATGTTATTTCAATCACCGTTATTTCTCCGCATTGAAATTGAGTTCAGAAATTTTCGAAGAGTTCGTCTATGATACCTATGGCAAATTATCCTATCGTGATTTCATTCAAATACCTATTCTGCCGGCTTATTTTTTAAAACCATAAGTTTTAAGGAAGTTTGTGTGAATTAATATTAGTTACTTTTTTATAGCACCCGCTCTTATCATAATAATTTGCAAACGGAGCTGATAATACTAATTTACCGGTATCAGAAGGGAAAGTCTCAAAAATAACCAATAATTCAACACTTACGTGTTCGGAAAAAGTAGTTACATTACCTCAGTTGTTAATAAGTTTTTTAGTTTGTTTTTCAACTAAAAAACTTACTCTTTTAAGGAAACAATTCTTAACGTTGTTAATAGCTTATTTGCAAAAAAAGTTTTTGGCTTTCGATGTAGACGACACAATTTTAGGAGCAAGTGCAATTCGACCGCGGTGTTTCAAAATTTCCGATGTTGCTTCATTTCTTTGTAAAAGATTAAGATAAAGAGGGAAGAGCATTGTTTAATATTTCATATAATATTCGGTTCAGAATGTAGTAAAATAAATGAAATTCCAAAACATCAATTCGGGATGTTTTCTTTCGCCAAAAATTTTTGACGTAAAATTTGCTAAGTCGCAAATCAACATCAATGTTTTTACTTTTGTCATCAACTTCTTGTACTTTTATGTGAAAATCAGGCTCCTCCTTCCCAAAGTATGATCGCGGAGTAATCTTCGAATTCGTAAAAAGGTTTGGGCTATACAAAAGCTGCAAAAAACGTTCCGTCAGAAAGACAAAGTACCTACATAGTTTTGCATAAAATAATGATGAGAGATCACTTCACACTGCAAGGAAGAAATGTCATTATATTGATTTCATATTTTTAATTCATATCTCCAAGTAAAAAATGACCTATCCTTGACCTTCTTGACCAACCCTCCACCCCTGTATGCTATTATTGTGAAATCTAGTTTTAATTGATAAGGCTATTTCATATCATATTCCAATTGACATTTACTGATCTGTAAATAGTTTCCTCGACTTGATCTTTCTGTTTGTTCAATTTAAAAATTATCAATCGTCACTCTTTTGGAAGAGAAATCAAATAAAAGCTCATGTTTATTTATGAATTGATTGAATGATTTATGCATAATTTATTGGTGACCAATGCTTAAAATATAAGGAACAAGGATTTACAAGAGATCGAGAGAAAATAAGTCCTTCACCATCTACGAGACGTGAAGAAATAACGGCCGAGAATTTTAGGCGATTTTGACATTTTAAAACGATCATTTGATAGTATCTGCGTAACTAATAGGTTACTGATACTGTCTAAAAACTTTAATTGACTCTTCATATAAATAATTATACTAAGATTATAAAGCATATATTAAATGGATTTCTTTCGTCTTTGAACAGTGCATTTTGCTGTGCCTATGTCGGTGAGATTTTTCATTATCACCCAATCAACGTACTGCTTGATTCACTTTTAGTTTATTTATTTTAAATGCTAAATATTAAGATTGCGATTTCAATCTGACAGGTTAATGTTATACATGTGAATGTGACCTTTATCAATTCAAAAAAATTCATCAATTTTTTCAGCCTTAAAAGGTAATTTTAATACCTCAAATTTGAGACTAATTTATATAGACAAGACGTAACTGAAACATTTTTTAGCAACATTTCCTCTTTAAAACTTTGAAAGAAAATCGATATACACAACGGAAAATTTGAATATCTACTATGCATCATCCCTGATCCAGTAGTTTGTCGTCGTCTTTATTCCAATAGAAAAAGCGAGTGATTATACATCTCGCACGTTTTTGTTCGACAGATGTCAGATATTTTCTTGAAAATGAAGCTCAAAGATTCGAATTTAACAATTTTCATCACTCAACTCGTCTTTTACGCAAAGTTTTGTTAAAGAGTTGAGAAAAACATACATTCATTGTAAAAATCCGCGGTGTCACTTTCAAAGTAAAGACAGTTTCAAAAATTTACAATGATTTGCCTGCACAAACTGAGTATTTCCTTTACGGAACTGAGGTAGTTATGTACGTACTGTTAGCAAAAAATAAGCGAGTGATAAATCACATCTAAAATTAATCGCACTGATTCTCTTCTTAAGTGAGCATTGCAATGTAAAAAAAGATCCGATATTTTACACCATCTGCGTAGGAAAATTGTAATAAAACAAAAAGTGAGCTTTTAAGAATTTCTCTGCAGAAACATAGTTGTTCAGTACCTTCAATCAAGGGAGTTTTAAGAGCTGCATCCATGAAATTATTCCATCGATTTGACCTTTTTACAACCGAGTTTTGGAGGGTATTTCTTCTCGGAATCCCGTAAGATCACCGCACAACTTAAATTTTCACATTCGAGCACTCTCAACTCTCAAGCACGTCAAACCGCGTATTTTCACACAAGCACGAGCTATACAAAGTAAAAACCAGGTAATAACATACGCAAACTTTTTAGGGCTTTTCAACAAAAGGAACTGATTACATCCTCTCTATTGAAAGTATCATGTTACTTTAAAGAATCTCAAAGCTTTAAAATTTTCACTGCTGGATTCCGAGTGGTAAGTTTTCACAAAATCCTCCACCTGGAAGCTGGACAAGCAAGAGAGGACGTTACACGATCAAGGTGGAAAACAGGGAAATTCGGGTTGGGGTGAGAACAAATTTTCACATTCGAGCACTCTCAAACACGTTAAACCTTAACCGCGTATTTTCACACAAGCTCGAGCTATTCAAAGTAAAAACTAGGGTATAACATATGCAAACTTCAGAGAGCTTTTCAAAACAAAATGGACTGATTAAATCCTCTCTATTAAAAGTCTTAGGCTATTTTAAAGAATCGCAAAGCTTTAAAATTTTCACTGCCGGATTCCGGGTGGTAGTTTTTCACGAAATCCTCCACTGGGGAACTGATTAAATCTTCTCTATTAAAAGTATTATGTTATTTTAAAGAATCTTATAGTTTTAAAATGTTCACTGTTGCATTCCGGGTGATAAATTTTCACGAAATCATTTACTGGGAAACTGATTAAATCTTTTCTATTATAAGTATTATGCTGCTTTAAAGGATCTCAAAGCTTTAAAATTTTCACTGTTGGACTCCGGGTGGTAGTTTTTCACGAAATCCTCCACCTGGAAGCTGGACAAGCAAGAGAGGACGTTATACGATCAAGGGTGGAACTCGGGTTGGGACTCACGTGTCTGGAACAGCTGCGTGGTCCACCTCCGAAATTCAGAGCGGGCCCAAGACTGCTCGGAGGTTGGGATACGGGAAAAAGGAATGAAAAGCACCTCGAGAGGAGGACGAGGAGAGGAAAAAAAGGAGTGATAAGAAAAACGCAGGAGGAAACTTAGAATGTTAATGAATATTAGACAAAGAAAGCTTACTTCTGTTTGTTTTTTACGCTTTTTAACGCGTCTCGTCCGTTTGGTCGCTTTTCCGCCTTCTTTTTCATTCGCTCTCCGCTCGGGGTCGGGGCTTCGGTCACAATGCGCAAGTCCCGGGGAAAACTGTCAAAAATAAATGCACCCGCTTATTACGACCCGGAAAATCACGTGTCTTCCAAAAGCAAAATCTAGCAAAACCAACGGAAACCGGGCTGTGATCTACCACCTCTCGATTTCCGAATTTAGCAGGGGATCTCCCTTTTTACAGAATGCATCTAAAGGAAAATAAAATTTTCCGGTACTTACGTTCATCGTGTCTATTCTCATGTTGGGTGCCAATTTGTGGACAGATTCATGAACGAAAAATTTGATGCTTTATCACAGATAGGAACAGAAAATCCGACCGTGGGTGGCCGGTGAGATCGGAGTGGAGAGGCCTGATTTCGGAATGTCGAACTGAAAAATCACATTTTTGCAAAATACTTTAACCCACGTTTTTTTGTATTTTTTGTTATTTTTATTTTCTGAAGACCACCAGATTATATCGAGGAGAAAATCACATTTATGTAAGCACCAGAGTCACCGCATCAACTGAACCAAAAAGCGCGCGCAATCGGACCGGTCGAAAAACTTGCAAAAAAATCACGAAAAATTTAAAAAAAAATTAAAACGGAAGAACTGAAAAAAAAAAAAAAAATTGCAACTGTTAGAACTGTTTAGTGGCGTGGGATATAACTGGACGCGAGCTGATGAGCTGAGTGTGGTAAAGTGTAAAGCGGGAGTATGCGGGTTAATAAGAGTTGCCAACGTCTTCGGTCAAAACAAGAGACTGACGGAGGCTTAAGTATAAGGTGTCCACAATTCATGTTTTGCATGCGCGTCGCCGGAGGAGGGGCAGGGGGTGGGGGCAGGAGAGGAGAAGGGACACTTTTAGGGGTAAGAACTGTGGTGTTTCAAAAAGTTTTATTATACAAAGGAGTGGGGGTTTTTAAGATTGTGCTAAGTAGGGGAAGGACCGACCGGGCAGTGGTGCGACCTTCAAGGAGTTTAAAGCGCGAGAGAAGGTGAAGAGAGAGGGCAGCCGTAGGATGAATGAGCATGACGGAGAGACGGAGAGGCGAAACGGAGTCATAAATAAACAGAGAGAGCCATACAAATTAGCGCGCGCGCGAGAGGGATGCCGCGATGAGGGCATCTTCGTCGCTCACTCATCATGAATAATCCCCCTCTGCCCACTGCCTTTACCCCTACACTCACACATGCAAACTACCCTGTAACTTCCTCCTCGCGAGCTTTCAACCCCTCCCC